CCGATTTCACTGGTGTCAGTTAGCTCATGCTTGATCTTCCCAATGGCACATGGATAACATTTATGAATATAGAGAGGAGTTGAAAGAAAATTAGGATAAATTTCTGTCATGCTCATCAGCTAAAACTAAACTATAAGCTTATTGTAGATCAGATATTTTAGTAAATGTTCGTTCAGCTTTGGGGAATGACCAATATCGAGGAAAGGATGGCACACTTTAGCATTTGTCACCTAAACTACTGAGACCAAAGTGACCAAGTGAAGTCATGTGCTTCCACCTCACTGTAGGTCATTTTAAACATTAAATTCAAACCTTAGGAAAAGTCTATAAATTGTCCTTGGTGAAATAAACTGAATACTAAGTGAGGTTTCACCATGATTGCCGTAACTGTCATACATAAGTTAGAAAATGACAGGTAAAAATGGAGATTTGCTTCAAAGTAGATTCAATCTCTTGTTTCTGTGACCTTGTCTTTCAAATAAATGAAAGTGAATCTTATGTTAAAAAAAATACATATAGTTTTAGGCCAGAGTAGAGAAATATAAATGAGTGTCCAACTTTGGAATGGTCTTTGGATCAGTGATGAGATTTATGCAAACATATATGTGCATTTTCAATCAACTTGAATAATCTTACCTCTTCATCTTAGGAGATTATACCTGAAGAAACCAATATTTTTGGATTTTTTTCTTTAATTTTATATGTAGAAAAAATATTTACCACACAGCTGAAGCTTACTTTTTCTCTTGCTGATTTGTTTTTTTTTTATACATATGCTTTTAAGTAGTAACGGTGTTATGTTATAATAACCGATGTTTTTGATGCACCAATAAACATATTTTCAGATAAAATTTAGGAATCTGGGTAGTTTGCTTTATGGATATAAATTAATTTGATGGCTTAGAACTTCTGTTAACATTTCTAGCTCAAGCTAACGTTCAGTAACTTGTGGCTTTAGTCAGAGATTTTTGTACAAACTGAATGTGTATTCCAGACTTTACAAATCTAGTGTTATAGTTGGGGGTCACAATAACCCACATTTTGCTAACTCAAATTCCTAAAACATGTTCTCCATTTTAATTGGTGAGGTCCCCAGATCTTATCACATTCCTCTCATGTTTTGCCCACCTGAGAAAGCACTGCGGACTCTCCATTGTCCCTACTGCTGGTACCAACAGTGATATTCCTGCTGAAAGTTTTGTCACAGTCCTCCCAAAGTTTTGCCCCTCTGGGTGGGAGGACTTGGGAAGTAGACTCTTTTCCATGCTAAAACATGCCACCATGTGCCCCACCCTGCTTTCTTCTGTGTCATCCACGCAGAGCCCTGATATTTCCTACAGATCTCCTTGGATTCTTTTCCCTGGGTAAATCAGCTCAGATATGTACCCAAAAGATTAGCTGTGATCAACTAATGGCTGGATCCCACCGGGCATCGCAGCTGTGGCTTGAGATGAACATCTGTGTTCTCCTTTCTCTTGCCTTTGTTTTTCCCGGCATGTTCTGTTTTGGTTTAGATGTGGCATTGCCTTTGCTGAGTTCCTAAATTCACCTATAATTCTAGCATTCTCTAGCCTACACAAAACCAGTGTCTCAGTGATGAATCCTATCTCACAGGTTTCTACTGTAAGGAAAAGAGATTCGTATCAATATGTTTTGTGCAATATTCATCACCATGACACCTGGGTAAGTGTTGGTGAGTCTGGTGAGAGTAGACATAGATCATAGTCTTTTTCTAAAATCTTATCCACGGGGCCCGGCGCGGTGGTGCAAGTGGTTAAAGGTCCTCGCCTTGCACCCCCGGGATCCCATATGGGCGCCGGTTCTAATCCTGGCAGCCCCACTTCCCTTCCAGCTCCCTGCCTGTGGCCTGGGAAAGCAGTGGAGGACGGCCCAAGGCTTTGGGAACCTGTACCCACGTGGGAGACCCGGAAGAGGCTCCTGGCTTCGGATCAGCATAGTATGGGCCCGTTGCGCTCACTTGGGGAGTGAATCATCGGACGGAAGATCTTCCTCTCTGTCTCTCCTCTCTGTATATCCGCCTTTCCAATGAAAAAATAATAAATATAAATCTTTAAAAAAATAATAAAATAAAATCTTATCCACATATAGACGTTTGCTTGATTTTTCAACCTTCTACCACCAGTCTGAGTTCAGTCCGCTAACCACATCACGTAGGAACAACTGCAACTCGGCCTCTTTCCGTGTGGATGAGCCCCACAGGAAGCTTCTGCCCAAGGGGCGTTTTCACTTCATGCATAGCCAGAGAAAAAGAAAAAGATCAGCAGTGTGTCACAAAGAGAACCCAGGCAGAAACGCTGATGAGTGGCAGAAGAAATAAGAAAATGGTGGTTTCAGGGAGTGGAGGAGGGGCAGGTTCAATAAAACCTGATTGAACACTGCTATGGTCCAGCGCATCATAAGGAAGCTGTTCCATGGTGGATATCAGGGAGAGGCATAGGCAAAATGAAATAAATCAAAAAGCTCTGTGAAATAGAAACTATCTTGAAAACTCAGTTTTCAGAGAAAGGTTGTATAAAAAGTTGATGGAATTATCTGGTGACAGTGGGGAGGTGTTTGCATGTAAGCTACGTGGTTCCCTGTTTGAAATATGGGAAACTGATGATCTCTTTGATGTTTTTTTTCCCCTATTAAGTTACCCAGGTCGAGTAGAGCTCCCACAAAACTTCGGATCTCTGTTTCGCCCAGTGGCAATGATGGTGCCCGATTATCGAATGATTGCTGAAACCATTATGTCTTCAGCTGGATTCAAGGCTTCCAGATCACTCTCTGGAAAGCTGGTCAGCCTTTGTGAATTAGCTCACAAACAGCTCTCACAAAAGGTAGAGTATTTCAAGGTGATTGTATAAGAATAAAAACATGTAGAAATAACCTCAGTAGTACTTACCTGATGTTGATCCAGGAACGATACTACAAGTAATGGAAAATATAAATAATGGAGCTAGAGTCCCCACAAACACGTTGAGTCTATGTT